GGGTAGGTAGAGGTGGATAGGGTGAGAGTGTGTATTTATATTTTAGAAAAATTTTGGAATTAGAAAAATATGGAAAACAATGATTATCGGTTTTCCAAAAATTTCCAACTTCTTTGTAATTTTAGAAAACGGAAAATTTTCATTTTCCGTGAAAATTTTAGAAAAATAGACGAACTAAATGCGTTTTCAAAATTCTTATTTTTATTGGAAATTTTTTCCGGAAAACGGCCCATTTTTTTTCGCAACTAAACGCACCCTGACTTTTTGTAACTTTTCCGAAAATGACTTTTGCCCTAAAAAGCTAAGCCAAACACCCCCTTAGGATCATTTAACTTTAGAAAATTTCATTTTTTATTAAAACAACCAAAATACAAGTGTGACTGTATTAATTAACAACAATGACGAAGGGGGAGGGTATCTGACGCACGACCCTCACCATAATCAAAATTAAGATCTCAAAATTACATACATCAATCCTCAAACGTGATTAATCCAACGTCTAAGAATCGGTCGGGTACATATCTTATCATGAGGGCGACCGCTTCCTAAACAAAACTTTCGCTACATACTGTTCTTTTCTCTACCTCTCTCTCTCTCATTAGTTCGTTGTTATCTAAGTTTGTAAAATCTCCATCTCTCTAGACTTTCTCTCTCTATATCTATATCTCAACACATATACATACAGATAAATGTATATACACGCGGTGCTAGGAAAATCAAAACCCTAGAAGACCCTCGATTGGGATCGGACAAAGTTGGAATCGAAATCGATGATCGACATTATCGATCGGCGCTTTGATCTGAGATAATTGGACTGGAGTCTCGAGGTTTTTTATTGATCGATTCGAGATAGAGAGATGTATAAGAACCAGCTGCAGGAGCTGGCGCAGAGGAGCTGCTTTAATTTGCCGTCGTACATAAGTATAAGAGAAGGTCCAGATCACGCGCCACGGTTCAAGGCCACGGTTAACTTTAACGGCGAGACGTATGAGAGCCCTAACTACTGCACCACGTTGAGGCAGGCGGAGCACTCGGCCGCTGAGGTGGCTTTAAATGCACTCGCTAGCCGTGGTCCGTCTAATTCTTTGGCTGCTCGAATACTGGTGAGTCTTTCGTTTTTTTAGGGTTTGTAAGGTTTAACCTTCAGAAATGGGTATTTTAACTTCCGTTTTCTTAATTCATGTTTTTTTAGAAGACTATTTGCTTGATGTAGCATGTCTTTGAAATTCAATTGCTACAACAGTTTAATAAATGTATAGGAAGTCCGCATAAGTGAAGAAAATGTAATCTTAATTCATATAACTTAATTTTATAGGCTCTAGGGTTTCATCAGATGGAGGAATTTTGACATCTATTATTCAATTATGTTTGTTACCTAGGCCATTGTGAGGACACGTAGAACATTGCTGTATGTAATGGGGATTCGGAGAGTTGCATTCAATGTTTTGTTGATATGAAGGATATGTGTCAAGTATGATTTGAAATGTTTATTCCCTTTTTCTTGTGTACATGGATTGCTTCAGGTGTCATACATATGTACCAATAAGATTTCAATGCAAGTTAATTGGATTGACACTTGACATAATATAAGAGAAGATCGAGTATTGATTCTAGTTTCTAACACCTTTAAATATTGTATTTGACACTGATTTTGTAATGTACATGATACAGGATGAGACAGGGGTGTACAAGAACCTTTTGCAAGAGGTTTCACAAAGAGTAGGAGCATCATTACCAACATATACAACTTTTAGGTCAGGCCTTGGGCATTTACCCGTGTTCACATGCACTGTAGAATTAGCCGGCTGTACATTTACAGGTGAACCAGCCAAGAATAAGAAACAAGCTGAAAAGAATGCTGCCATGTCAGCTTGGTCATCTCTCAAACTTTGTAAGCCATATAATCATTATATATATATATATATATATATATATATATATATATATATATATATTGAGAGAGAGAGAGAGAGAGAAAATGGGTTTATGAAAAAGATCTACTTACTTTTTATTATCTAATGTTCAGTGACTCAGCAAACAGAAAGTTCACCGATGCAAAAAGGGATGCTGGAGGAGCAGGAGCATGTGATTGTAGCTCGTGCTTTACAGAAATTCAGATTAAAGGCAAGAATGTCGAATATACCCTTTCCTATCCAGTTCCCATCACCAAATCCAAAGCCAAATACTTCACAGTCACCACCATCCACAACATCAAAAATACTTCCTTTAATATGTCCAAAAACAACCCCTCGAAGTAGGCCCCATCTCACCACATTGTTAGATAACGATGAAGCTTCCAACAAAGCACCGCCTCAAAACAACAACAGAAACGAAAAGCCGTCTCCCCGACCCCACAAGTTTCCGGCGGTCGGAGCTGCACCGTATATCCCTGTGCGGCTCTTCCGGGGGATTGCACCACCGGTCACCATACGGAATGCGATTCCTGTGTTCTCCGCTCCTCCGCTTCCTGTTCCACCACCGCATATTGGTATACCACAGTTCAGGGGGATGCCGCCAATGTGCGGTGGTGTAGCACCTCCGGTCACCATAAGACAGGCGGTGCCGGTTTATTCTTCCCCCAACATCCCTAAACCCCCTATCACCTCGATGCCAGAGAAAGGGCATGCAACTCCTACTCCTCAAGATTCAAAGCCTTGTATGAAGCCGAAGCCGATTTCCACCTCAGCAATATGTGTGACACAAAAGGAAGAAGAAGGTAAATTTGAACAAGTGAAAGTGGAAGAGAAGTTGAGGGAGTTGCACATTTGAATGTTTGATGTGAGGTGAAACGAGGCTTTTGTTGTGCAAAATCTATTATGTAGGTTTATGGCTACGGTTGCTTTATATATATATATATATATATATATATATATATATATATTTTTGGTGGTGGAAACTGGATAGAGACACGGAGGTTGTTGCAGTTGGCCTCTTGGAGTCGTATTTTTGGGGTGGGGTTTGTTTAATGGTTAGTAGGTTGGAAAGATGGGGGGTTGTTGTTGTTGTGGGTTTTGGAAGGAAGTTGTGGGTAGAATCTGGAAGCAAAATTGTTGTATAATTTTACAATTTGGTTCGCCTTGGCCACTCGGATTTATTGTCTACTTGTGTTGGACTTGCGTTTGAAAGGTACAAAGTTATAAGCTATATATTAATATCGTCTGTTTTGGGTTTCCATATGTTTTTTTTTCATGAAATATCATTAAAAAAACCAATAAATGTTAATGTTAAACAAGAGAAAGTGGTTTCTACATCCAACTGAAAATTTCTAAAGCTACCAACGGGGCTGGGGCAAGGGCCTTTCTCGGAGGAACATAAAACATGGGTGCTACTTTTGCTTGACGGATTCGCCATTGTCGCTATTCCTTTTGTTTTCCACACACTACTTGCTTCTTTAAAAAACATACAAACCAATCAGTACACTAAATTTAAACCACAGTATAATAATTATTATTGTTATCATTTTATTGTCTATTAATAAAATCTCGATAACAAACCTCTCACTGGTGGCATCCTGTTTGGTAATACTGGAGGCTGATGGAACGAAATCCATGATCTGAAGGAAGTTATTTTGTGATGAACATTTTAACACAAAAAAAAAAAAAAACAAATTAAAGCGTGTTTTACTTGCTTTAAAAATGGAGCAACCATGTAGAGCTCAAGACCAGTGATATTACATCTCCATATACTGGTTGAAGTTCATCAAGCCTCTGTCATGCGATTTCCTGCAATGGTGAACAAACATTGAACTAACTAATCGCCATTAGAATTTATATATTCTGACAATATAAACATGCATGTTTTTTTTTTTTTTTTTGCACAACATTACCTTTTAAACATTCTCATTTTCTACATCTACAATTGTGAAATGGATTCAAAATCATCTAGTTTCGATTTTTTTTATTATCAAGCTATGACGATGAGTCGTTCACGTGTCATTAACCTTTTATCATTCTCTTTGGTGATACTGCAAGGTCAAACGAGCCAATAAATACAAAGTTTTATATAAACAGAAATCATGAAGCATCACATGATCATCTCGTGGAATGAGGTTATGGCGCTGACATATTTAGAATGAGGTTATGGATGCAAAGAAATATTCTTACGAATTGTTAATGATATGGATAGACAATATTCATATTTTAAAATATCATGGTATTATACAGGCAAAATGTCTTTTACTCCATTACATATATGCAATACGTTAACTTGCATACGAGACGGTTCCAGATGCTTGTGTGATGCATACTTGAAGATGTCTACAAGAACTTCACATTAAAATCTTGATATGTTTTGTGAGGGTATTATTAAGATGTATGGATGATAATATTTGTGTAAACCTATTGAGAGTGACGTGACATATATATATATATATATATATATATATATATATATATATATATATATATAAAGCTAAGCACATTGATTGTCAATATATGAGAGATCATCTTGAGTACCCTACGACATCAACATCTTCATCTTCAACCAATTTTTGGTGTTGCTGGTTCCAAAAACGACATCAACATCTTCAACCAATTGTCATTAGTGACCAATGTACTAAATGAAACCGTATCAAAATGTCAATTTCATGTTAACGGAGTATAATACAAGCATGAGTATTATCTTGGTGACATAATATACCGAAATAAAGCTCCTTTTGTGAAAATATTTGCATAGCCAAATGATGATAAACGATAAATGTTTAAAACAACACAAGAATCAACAAGGAATGACGTTGATTATACGGGATGAAGGTCAATCAATATGTTCAAGGTGTCCTCAAAAGTTGTTGGGGTATTGTTTGAAACCATTCATCGGCAATGATTCATAGAAAAACTAGAAAAATTAATATACCTTTGATATATATTACAAAATTTGATTATACCAGGTCGAGTGTATGTTCTTTTAACGAAAACGAACTTCCATCCCTTCAAAAATGTCTACAAATAAATCACGATACTCTTTGGGGTGAAAGATGGACATTTTTATGCAAACCAGATCAAACCGATACTATATCCTATACTTCAGTATGGTATTCAGTACCTATTTTTGGCCTTATTCAGTTTCAGTTCAATACCAATTCTACCTTTAAACTAAACCTACTTTCCAAACCAAAACAATACCGTTATTATACCTTATACTTTCGGTATTCGGTTCTTACTTTTGGCCATATTAGATTTTATGGTACCAATACTGGTTTGATTCAATTTCGGTATCGAACTCACCCTAGGCGAAAGATGTCACACCCTTATCATTCGTCATTGTAGGTAGGAAAGATTGATTACAAAATAAGCAAATAAAGGTTATTAATAGGTTGCTTAATATGGTTTGGGTGACCCACCGACCCGACCCAATCACCACCTTGATGCCAATCAGTCCGATAGAAACAAAGAACACCCACAAACAATCAATCAGTCTGCGTTGAGTGAATTATGAGACTACCAAATGTTGTCTGATAGCAACGAATTCTAAGTTCTTAAATTCCTTCTTCTTTCTTCGATTCAGCTAAAAAATCACTCAACAGGGTTCAAAATCTGCGCCAGAGGGAGAGAGGGGATCTATATCTTTTTACCCAAGATATGTGGACGATACCTTTGGGAATTTCAGTAAACACCCTCTCTCCCAACTTCAACAAATTAGCTCCTTTCTACCCTTCCAGGGTTCATCAATCGTCTATCCCTTCTCATCTCTCCAGATCAGGTACTTTTTCTTATCTATACATATAAATATCTGTATCTATAGCTCCATAATCTAATGAGGTATTTTGATCTGGAGTTTCATAATTTTATTTTTTTTGTGGAAATAGTATAAATTTTATCTTTCTAATTAAAAATCTGTCTGTTGATGTTTATGACTCCAATTCAGCTTAATGATACAGTGTTGGTGGCATCTTGATTGTGCCATTTTTGGTTTGGATTGAATGAGAATTGGGTTTCAGTTTATGCCTGTTGTGGTTTATTAACACAAGTCTCGATGTTCTGAGCCTTCTGAGTGTTATGTATCTTTCTACTGTATCTGAAACTTTGTCTTTATTGATCAGACTTTAGGATTTTCAAGAACTAACAATTATGGGTGTGCTTGAACTTTAGTCAGATGTTTAATCGTTTTGTAATTAAGTTAAACTGAAGGAACAATTGGTTCATGCTAAGGGTGTAAAGAGCTTGATCTTGATGAACCAATTGATCTTGGATTGCAACCTTGTTAAAAACGAAAATGTTGCATTTATTTTGCAACATCCTAGAAAGAAAAATATCAAAGTCCGACTCTCTTACTTCTTCAGCTTTCATACTTTCTTTAGCTCTTTCTCACTAGAACTGTTTGTAAATTTCTTTCTAGACTCAATAGGGATTTGCAAAGCGAGTCAAGTGGTTGAAATATTTCCAATTGTGTCCCCTGAAATTGTGGTGCGTGAGGCAAGAATTGAAGATTGTTGGGAGGTTGCAGAAACGCATTGTAGCTCCTTCTTCCCTGAATACTCGTTCCCATTAGACTTTGTTTTGAGGATTGACAGACTCCTTGCACTGGTTTTTGGATTGTCAGTACCCACTGGTTGTAGAAGAACATGTCTTGTTGCTGTCACCTCCACTGCTCAAGATGACGACAACACTTTCTTTTTTGGTGATGAAGATCTCAAAATTGCAGGTTTTGGTGCAAAGATTAGTCTCAATAAAGGATATGTTGCTGGGATTTTGACTCTAGACACTGTCGCTGACTTTCTTCCTAGGAAAGGTCCTCTTCGTCAGAGAAGGTGATCATTTTGATTTTTTTTTTTTTTTTTCTGGTCAAAGTATAGGGGGGGTAATCGTACACATTTTCATATTTGCAGGACTGGAATTGCATATGTGTCGAATGTTGCTGTGAGAGAAAGGTTTAGAAGAAAGGGAATAGCGAAAAGGCTTATAGCAAAAGCAGAGGCTCAAGCTAGAAGTTGGGGGTGTAGGTCAATTGCATTGCATTGTGACCTAAATAACCCTGGTGCCACTAATTTGTATAGAAGTCAGGGTTTTAAGGATATTAAAATACCCGAAGGAGCTAAATGGCCCCAGCCCAGGACCTCACCCGATATGCAGTTTAATTTCATGATGAAGCTCCTTGAGAAAAACCGAACCAATTGTTAGGTACAAGTAGTATTGCAAAAGGTACAAGTGATAAAGGGAGGGAGTCAGTCATAATGGTATGTTAGGGGTCTTAGTAGCTGTTTGTTTGTTTATACATGAAATGTAATTGTATATTGTTATAGGTAGTGTACTTGTTTGTTCTTGTAAGGTAAATCAAAGTTACGGTTTCTTTTTCTTGTGATGTTTTAGAACTAGATTATCAATCACATGCTTAACTTGGGTGGCATATTGCTTGCAGTGGTAAGAGTGAGAATCATAAGTGAGGTCTAGGCATCTTTTTGCTATGAGAACATTATTATTTACCTTCATGGTGTTCGTGTGATCGATTGGTGAGGCGTTTTGTTAGTATTAATGTATGAATTGAGTTCCATTTTTAGAAGGTTGCTTCAAATGCAACTTGTTTGAGAGATGCTTGGTCATACACAATTTCTCTATAACTTCAACCAAATATCTGCTGCACTAATTTCATTCAAAACATTTTGCAAAATGTCATTAGGTAAAATTTTCTTCAAATGACTTGATAATCATAGAATAACACCTCCAATTAAATGTAAAAATTGCTATATAAGGAGAGTTGACAATAATAAGTAAAATAATAAAGATTAGAGAGAAACACACTAAGATTTATGTGAAAAACTCAAATCGGGAAAAAACATGTGCATATACATACAAGACTATTGAGAGATCCACTACTAGTGATAATGTATAGAATGCAAATAAATTGGACAAATACAAATATATGGGGCTATATGTGGATTAAACAAGAGAAAAAAAATGAAAGATGGTGTTTCTAGGGTTTTTAGAATAAAGTTCTCACTCTCGTGACTTAAAAAACCAAACAAGGCATTTATCATGTCACCCCAATCCATCTGTTCATATGGAGCTTGTTAGGGTGAGACGAAACCGCACAAACCATGTCAAAAAATTAGTTCTAAGGGGTGTTTGGTTCACATAATATTTTGGAAGGAATAGAATATGTCAAAGAAATTAGAATCTAAAGGAATTGGAATATAATTGAATTGAAATATATAATGAAGTCAATATGTAATAACATTTGGTTGACATGGAATGGAATCTGTTTTTTGTTTGGTTTGCAGATTTGTTAAAAGAATTGAAAAATAAATTATGTAATATGACAAAAATGCACTTTTACTAATTTTTTGTTACTTATTATTATTTTTAATAAAAATTATAAACTTTCATTTAATTAAAATTTTCATTTATTACTCTTACCCGCTCAAAACTATATTTTTTTTATTGAATTTGCACGTAATATATATAACAAAAAGATAGCTTTAGAAAACGAAAATATATAATTCAACTTGATAAAAACAGTTAATAGATATCGTGCTTTAGGGTTAGCTCTAGGATCACTTACTCAAGAGTTTGGTATGAAAAAAATGAAAACATGTATGTTTGTGCACGAGCATGTGTATAGCCACGGGCATATATATATATATATATATATATATATATATATATATATATATATATATATATATATATATATATATATAGGTATGAGTGTGAGGGTAGGGTGTGTGTAAGGGTGAGTGAATATGTGGGTGTGTGTTTAGGGGTAGAGTGGGGTGGGGATGATAATTTGTTTTCATTTGATGAATTTGAGCTAAAATAAAAAGAAAGTGGACATTTTTGTCTTTTTTATAAAACATAAGAAATAAAATCTAAAATCTTTGCCATTAACCAAAATTCCTTCAAGCACCTAATTTAATACAAATTTAAAGAATTCCAATTCTTTTGATTTTGTTGACCAAACCCCTTGAATTTACATTCTAATTCCTCCAAATTCCTTCAAAATTTATGAACTAAACATCCCCTAAATTTTTGGGGAGCCGTACACAACGCAACTTTTTGCTATACACAGCATGATATTTTAGAGGATTGTACGAACTCTAAAACATAAATTATTGTGTATCGCAAAAAGAAGTTGTGTAACGATCACTTCCCAAATTTTTAGTTTTGTTGGCACCATTTTTTAACACTTGACGAAGGAGGTAATGTAATGTTGGTGACACAATGCAAGATGATAAACAAGCCTTGTTGATTTTCTCACCCTTTCCCAAATCCTACAAATGATTTGTGCTTATTATGTTAGACATGTAAAGCTTAACCTGGTCTTTTTCCATTTATGAGGGAAATAAAACAAAATCACACATTCTACAAATACTTGCAACAACAATAAGCATGATCAATGCATGCTACATTGATACAAATCACTTCAAAACTTTCACCCACGCCTTTCTTGTAAATATTAGGTGTCATTCGGTTGTTAATTTTACAACTTTCAAGAATCGCTAAAAGTCGCAGTTTTCAGAGACTTGAAACTACTTATTATTAATACAGAAAAGTTTTTGTATTAAAAAAAAAAAAAAACAAATACACCTTTGAGCCTGATTACTTCTGTACAAATTTGGTCAAGGCTGATATATCAAGAGCTGAGAACTCATTTACAGCTCCAACCACTGCTAGTCCGAGTTTTATAGCATCCTCATTGCTCGGGGCCTACAAATTTCATTTATGTTTATTATTTTTTTTTTTTACAAATTAGTTAAAAAAAATTGATTTACCTCGATGTTGAGGGGCAAAACAGGGTCATGGAGTGAAAGTCTGAGAAGGAACCAGCCACCATATCCAGACACCCGTACTCCTTCATGGTTAACAGGTGCTTTTTCAAGCTTGGGATCTGATTCAATTTTGTTTGTTAAATGCTTTAGCACTGCGTTTCCATAGTCTTGAAAAGACCTGTAAACACCACAACCTCTGAATACATTCAGACCTCATGACACATATAAATATAACAGTCACTAAGCACCAAGTAAATCTACATTCAACAATCAACATACCCTCCTTTCAAATCTGCATGATTTTGATCTATTTTTAATCTAAGCTCAACAGCAACACCCGGTTCCTGTAGTTCCTCCACCAAATCAGTCAAAACTTTGCTTCCCCCAGTTTGACCCGAAGCTCTAGCTGATGCAAGTTTGTTCAATAGCTTCACCTGCAAATAAAGTCAAGAAAGTCAACCAACACTATGAAATATGCACCATCATGTATTGATCATTGATCAATACATACCATGAGATATGCACCATCATCAAGCCAGTGATTCTCCTTGAGTGCTCCATGGCCACTTGTCTCAATGGCCAAATGTGACTCCTCACCAACAGAATTCTGTGAAAAAAATATCATTATTGTGTCTGATAATTAATGTAAAAAATTTACACAAATAAAAATCATTCTGTATTAACTTCTCACCAAACGAATGCCTTCATCAATGACATTTTTATACCCTCTTTTGAACCGATGGTGCTTCCCTCCTGTCAGAATTTGGCAACTATCAAATAAGTAAAATATGATTTAATACAAAAATAGAATCACTGATGTAAAGGCTCTTCTTACCTAGTTTCTTCTCGATGAATATAGTAAGCCCATCTGAAGTAACACTGTCTGTGACAATTGTTGTTCCAGGGTGCTAGCAGGACAAAAAAGCAGTAACTAGCTCAAAATCATGGCCATGAACAGTTTTAGGGAAACTTCTAGAAACTTACTTCTTCTAAAACAATAGCAGACATCAAAGCAATCAGACGATTCCGGTTAAACTCACGACCCGTGGAATCCACAGCAGCAGATCTGATTCACACACCATGATTGACATAATTGCCCAAAATTTTATTCATAAAGGAAATCTTTTAATATGTAAAAGATTAGAAGATCACCTATCAACATCAGTGTCAAAGATGATCCCTAAATCGGCTTTGTTATCAAGCACAGCCTGAGTAATTGCCTTCATTGCTGCCTTGTCCTCGGGGTTAGGGATATGATTGGGAAATAACCCTGAAAATTGGTCAGGTTTACTTTTACTTAAGTTGGTTAAATACAAAAACTTGCTTAAATTAGTTTTCATTCTGTTACTTTATTACCATCTGGTTCTAGAAACTGACTGCCAGTAGTAATAGCACCTAAAGGCTCCAACACATTTCCCTGAAAAACAAAAATAAGATATGAAAAGTAATCTTCACATATATATAATGTACCTCATGTTTTATATATCATTCTTAAAAGATAACTTACAGCAAAAAAACCACCAGCTCCATTCCCAGCATCCACAACTATATGAAATCCTTCCAACGGCTTTTCTGTAATCCAAATCCAAGTAAGAAAACAAGCATGAGGGGAAAAAAAAGTAATCTTCACATATACCTATGTTTCCTGAAGCTTTGCGAACTGCTGTTACAAGGTTAGATGCGTAAATAGCCATGTAATCAACTTTAGTGATGGAAGATGAAACTTTTCTTTCTGCCTCTTCTAGAGATTCTGGTGTAAATCCATTGTATATGTTTGCAGCACGCTCTAGGATGTCTTTAATGTCGGGTTTTCCAAGGCCTCCTTCATTAGTGAAGAATTTAAAACCATTTCTATTATAAGGAAGATGGCTTGCCGTTATCATGATAGCTCCATCAACTGGACATAGAAAGTCTTCATTTTTTGTCAGTGTACTATTGAACATTGCTGGAGTAGATGCTAATCTACAAAAACAACACTGAAAATAATTAAGAAGATCATAACACCCAAAAAGAAAATAATCAAAACAAATGAAGAAATGATTACAGCTACATTACCCGTATTGCACAACATCAAAGCCTACACTAGCAATTCCCCGAGAAGCTGCATCCTGGAAAAAACATTAGGTTGATATATGGTTTCATGGTGTCAACAGGGAATTAGATACTATCCACAAAAGTTAATACCTGTAGCTTTTGTGCAGAAATTCTAGAATCATGGCCAATTGAGATTTTGAGACGTTTAGATGAATCGGCTTTTTTCTTATCTAAAAGCCATGCAGCAAAAGCAGCTGCTATGGCTTGTGTCACACGCTCTGTGAGGTTAAGGGGTTCTCCAGCAACACCATCAACAGCAACACCACGAATATCACTGCATTCAGGTGTGTGTATGTATGTAGATTATAATAGGTTACCAAATTTGTTTGTCATACTGCAAACTTCAGGAAGGAAAAGGTTACCTTCCATTTTGTAGTTTGAGAAAATCTACTTTTTCAAGTGATGGTACTGCAGTAGCTGAAAGAGCAGCTGAAAAAGAAGTCTATCAGAAACCAAACTTCATGTATGAAAAAACAGATAAAAGCTAAAAAGCACATCAAAACAGCTAAAAATACACCCTTTTCATAACAACTCCAAATGCAATGT